GCCTCAAACACCCCCATCTGCTCCCCTCCAGCATCCCCCGTGCATCCCCAGAGCTCAGGGACTGCCTGTACCCAGCTTTGCTCCCCTACCAGACCCACAGTGGGGAGAGGGTATTGCTTAGAGACACATGGCCGTGTCTGTGCTCTCTGGTTATGCTGAGAAGTGAGGAAGACAAGCTGGAGCAGCAGGGCAGAGTGCAGGGGTTCCAGCGAGCTCCCTGCCTGCCCAGGAGGGACCAGCCACCATTTGTTAGCCCCTGGTACCAACAGGGAAGTAACAGCCAACTGTAGTGTTAATCTTGGGAGCAAAAACAGGGCCAGGATTTACCAGGTTTGGTCAGTTTTTAGAACTAGAGGCAATATCTCCATGAGCTGCAAATACTCTGGTAGCCAAGCCTGTGTGCTCCTGTGTGGCCCTTGCCTGTCAGCCCACAACAGCACCAGTGTTCCCAGTACAGCTGGGGTCTGTTCCGAGCTCAGAGCAGGTGTGCTGCACTGGGACAGATCCTGGTTTGCAGCAAACCCTCATGGGAGGGTCCCCCCAGGCAAACGAAGAGACCTCCAGAAAAACAGGGAACAAACGTTGCCCAGGGAGGTTGTGGATGCCCCATCCCTGGAAGTGTCCAAGGTCAGGCTGGACAGGGCTTGGAGCAACCTGGTCTGTGACATCCCAGCCCATGGGCAGAGGGGTGGAACTAGATGAGCCTTGAAGTCCCTTCCAACCCAAACCATCCTGTGATTCTGTGTGAAGGCATTAGCATGGAGGGGAGAGACTTCCCAGCACTGTCACAGAAAGACATGATGAGGGGGGGGTTTCCCTGTGCCTCGGAGAGAACATACTGGATGCAGCACAATCCTGGGACTGGGGAAGGAGCCATCCACCAGCTCTGTCTTAGTCACAACTGCAAGTTGCAGATATCCTGCCAGGAAAGACATCCCCTCCCTCCAGGGTAGGATAGGCAGGCTCAGGTTTTATCTCTGGCTGTGGCTCTCTCAAGCAGGCATGTTACTGAAGCAGAACAGCAATTCGGATCACAAACAGGAGAACGGTTATAAACCTCTCTGGGGTTGTTAAAGCAGATAAAAGCTCGTTCAACACGGCTGGAGGAAGCTGAGCCATGCTGGCTCCCTGCAGGCAGGCAGAGCTGCCCTCCTGATTCCCTCTGCACCAGATCAGACAGTCAAACGGGGGCAGCTTTTCCTAAAGCCGTGTCTCATCCCTCTTCTGAAGCACTCAACAGCCGGGATAAGGATACAGCAACACTAGAGGGCAGGCCTGGCCCAGCCTGGCTGTCCCAGCGCCCTGCCAGAGACCCTTCCCATTGTCCCCTCAGGAATGGGAGCTCCAGTCCCCACCTGCCTCCCAGCACTCCTGGAACTGCAAGAGGGATGGCTCCTTCACCCCAGGACACAGGGACAGGGAGGCAGGTGAGGGCATGCACAGGCATGCACACAGGGAGAGCAGGCAGAGATGGGAAAACAAAACGGGTTTCAATAGAGATCTCTTGCTTCAGCAGACCTACATCTCCCCTGCAGGCCCCAGATTCTCCTGCCAGGCCCAGGAAACCCATTTGCTCACACAGAGGAAAGGAGTCGCTTCATTTCAGCATCACCATGATACTATTACTCTAGTAATAAATAAATAAAGGAAGAGCAGCCTGAAGAGGCACCAGAGCTTGCAGGCTCCTGTGAGTGTACCCTGGCAGGCTGGGGAGGGGCTGCATACCTGGGGGGGATCCCTGCCTGGGGCCCCGGGAAGGTGCTGATGTACTTTTGCCAGGAGGCTGTCTGGTTTGCATGTGTGAGGGAAAGCTCCCTGAGCCTTTGGTGCAGCCTCTCTCCCAGTGCAGGATGTGGCTGTTTGGCCCTGGCTCCAGGGAACGTGAGCTGGGAGCATTTAAAATGGCGAATTCATCCCCAGCTTGGTTTCAAACTGCAGCTTCTGCCTCTTTTGGTAACGGACCCGGACCCTGGAGAAGGCAGAACAAAGAAGAGAGTCAGCATATGGAGAGGTGAAAGGCAAGCAAGGCTGTCCCACTGCCATTCCTGAGCTGCCAGTCCCAAGAAACAGGGAAGCCCTTGGCCTGGTCCCTGTGGTAGCCTGGGAGGGAAATCACAACCAGAAGGCAACCCATGGTCTCAGTCCTTCCCCATCCAGCCAAATCCCATCTCCAGGGACACCCAACACAGCAGAGAAAGGTTCAGAAACCCTTCCCCAGGAACAGAGATGGTGTCTCTGTCCCCACCAGGGTTCCCTGTAATCCCTGCTGCTTTTCCTCACCAGCCCATTTCCTGAGTCAACGTTCATTAGCGTTAACTCCCAGCCCTGGCTGCTCCCTGTGCTGGGGAGAACAGCCAGTCACTGCCTGCTACTAATTCTTGGCTTCAGCCACTTCCCCTGAAAACGAGTCCCACAGTCCAGGCACTGTGTGAAGGCCTGTTTCCTCTGCTGGGATTCAATGCCTCTCTGTCCTCATGGGACAAGATGAAGAGAACAGCCCCCTCCAATTCTACATTGGTATTTCATAGACCTTGGCTGTCTCCCTCTCTTTGGTTTGAGACAAGGAAATTTTGGTCTCCCTTCCTGCTCCCAATCACTGCCACTGCCCTTCCCTGACCCTCTTTCCTCCCCTGTGCTTCCTCCCTGAGAGGTGGAACACAATAACCAGGTGATTTACACAATGCAATCATCTTTTCCTTTTTATTCCCCACCCTGTTCCCTGGGTATGATTTTTTTTGCAGCTCAAGGCCAGGCTGGAGTGAGAATCCAGCCCTTTCTCCTCATCTTCCTTACTACCCCCATACCTGATTTCATGCAGCTTGACAATCTCATTGATGATAACCACAAGGACCAAGGAAAGAAAACCCAGGAGCCATGAGACCGGGGAGATGGAAACATGGTTAAAGGTCAAAGAAGAATTGAGGTTTTCCCAGAGTTTCAGGTCCAGCACAGTCTGTGCCACTTGCCCCAGCAATCTAAGATCAAAAACAGACACAGCAAACCTCAGCAGAGCTCACAAGCTTCCCAGGATCTGCAGATCAGGGTTCAGGCTGAAATGCTCACAACAGAGACCCTTCACCAGTTCAGCAGTGGATATCAATTGCTGTCTCTTCAGCACCAGCAAACTGGTGCTGGAGCTGAGCTAGAGCCCTGCTTGCTCCAGCATTCTGGAATGCCTCATCAGGGCCTGGGGATACTCACACAACAGCCACAGTGAGCGTCCACCAGCGGTTGGAGAGGGGGCTCTTCTTCCACAGGGGCTTGGTGCGATGGACGTGGGTGATGGATATGAACACTGCAGGGAAAAGGGGGTTATTGGCATCACACACAGACACTTCACAACACACACAGCAGCTGTAACTCCAAAGGGATATGGGGCTTATGGCCCTTTCATTCAAGGCCCTTTCAGATCAGGCTCCCCACAGCAATTCCAAGTCCCCAGATACGTGGGGGGGAGCAGTGGTCATCCTGCACAGGGTTACTACTCCCTGTGAGGTTGGTTCACAGCCTGGTGAGGTAAAACAGAGCAGGCAAAGGCCCAGACCTGGGGAGTGGGGCAGGGGTGGGTGTGCCCTTGTTTCTGGGCCACTGCAGGCCTGCAGCAGAGGAAGGTTCCAGCCCAGAGACATATTTAGCCAGAGACCCAGACCTATCTGCACAGGAATGAGCATTTAAACTGCTGCCAGGCTAAGCAGCCTTGCCTTGCCTCAGTGGTCTGAGGGACATAAAACAGTACTGCCCACTCCCTCTCTCCAAAGTTGGGCTGCCTCTCAAACCAGAAGGCATTTCTGCTCACCTGGACACCTGCACATCTCAACACCCAGTGCTCTGCCCAGCACCAAGGTACAGCACCACAGGACATGGACAGGGAGCAGAGACCCTTTAGGGTTGTCAGGGAGCAGCTGGACCTACTCTGCCAGGCCATGGTGTGCAGGTGATGAGGATCAGGCAGGACGTGGCTCCACGCCCCTCCAGAGGGTTTAAAAAGGCTTCAAGCTCCCAAACAGTCACAGCTTGTACCAGTGCTCTTTGGGGGATGGAAATAGGGTGCTTCACAAAATGGCAGCAGGGATATAAGGACTTCTGAGGCAAGGAACATTTTTGGAGAACTACTGATTTGCAAGAAGGCAAAGAGGGATGCTGCTCTTCTGGTGAGACTGGAAAGGAATCAACACTTTATCAGGCTGGTAGGAAACAGAATTAGCTCTGAGTGTGTTGTTTTTAATCTGTCAGGGCAATGTTTAGTGAGACTGGGTCTGTGCTGAGAGGCCACTGCAGTGTCTCCTTCTACCAGGGAGTTTGTGCTCTCAGACAAAGGGCAAAGAAGGAGGCAAAGGATGCAAAAGTTTTTCCCCAGAGTAGGAAATGGTGTTCTGGGAATTAGGATTTACCTGTGTGTAAAACAATCAGGCCAGCTGTGAGCTTCTGGGCTACAAGAAGAGCATTGGAAAATGTCCCAAACCAGTCAGGAGCACCATCAGCATTGCTAGTGAATGAGAGGACACAGAAAAGAAGTCAACAGTGGGGATTTACTGTCTGACCTGTTCCCACCAGGGCCAGGTCCTTCTCTAACAGCTGAGAGAACTAAGTGTGAGCTCAGAGTCAGGCTGTCCTGGTACCAGGAGGTGACAGTGAGCAATGCAATTGTCAAGGCTATAGGGAGAGCACCCAGCCCTCTGTGTAGCCATTTTAGCTGGGAAAAGGCTGAAGCTTGTTAGAGGGGAATCAGTTCTACCTGGAAGGGCAAGAGTAAGAGGGGTGTGTGCCAGGTTCAGTTCCTCACCTGTGCAGCATGATGGAGGAGCAGGCTGTGAGATTGAGGCTGGTGGTGTTCACCTCTTTGCAGGACTCATGCAGCGTGAACCCAAAGCAGATGAGGCAGGAGCAGATGGTCAGGCTGAATTTCAGCAGGAAGCAGAACAGGAAGTAGTGCTGAGTCTGTGAATAAGGGAGAGGAAGGAGGATGACACGGGCATGTCACTGGCACAACCTCCTCTCCATGAACCATCAGAGAATCAGTGGCTGCAAAAGACAAGCTGTAGTTCAGATGAGATGCTGCACTGTGGATCTGCCCTGTGGGTATGCTGGCACTAAGGAATTCCCTTCCTGGCTCATGCCACAGATCAATTTACCAAGCGAGCTGGAAAGGCACAGGGCCTCAGTTATGCATCAACACTGGGACAAAACAGAACAGAAAAATGTGTGAACAACTAAAATCTGACGGGCCACCTACCTTCTTGGGAATGGAAGTCAAGTTTTTTCCTGTTGCCATGGTCATGATGGAGCTGTGAGGAGGCTTGCCCAGGAGCGAGATACTGGAGAAAGGTAAGTCAGTCTTTCAGTAACATGTTCAGGCACCAGAACTATTCCATTTTTGTCTGTATCTATCATTTGAACCCAAATAACCTCCTCAGATTGCTTGAACCATTAGCACTTATCTGGCCACTGCCTTAAGCATATGCTGTAAAAGGTGTTATTCATGGTAGGTGTAGACAGGGAGAGAGGTGACCTCTAAATGTGTGATGGGGGAAAAATCCACCCATGGTACCTTTCCTCCACCTGACACCCCAGACTCTCCATCATACTCCAGCCAGTGAAGGATTAGATGATTTTCAGCTGGAGGTTCAAGCCCCAAGATAACAGCAGCTCTCACACAGCTGTCAGGGTTAACACAGCAGTACACAAACACTCCTGTGGCTGTTTCCAAGCACCTTGTCAAGGCAGATGCTTGGAATAATCCTTGCAGCCTTCTTGGAATGCTGTGGGTGAAGTCAGCTTTCTTTTAACATGGACATGGTGAGGCTGAGGGACTGGTCTGTGCATCCTGTGCGTGGGTGGGAGGAGATTCCACCCTGATAGACTCACCTGAGCAGTGGGTAGCAGAAACAGGAGAGCCACACGATGTCTGTGGTGCTGAGGATGGGGGGCAGCTGCACCAGGCAGGAGAGGAACTGGACAGAAACAATTCAGAGTGAAGAGTGTGAGCAGTGGTAGGAGAGGTTTGTTACCCAAGACGCTCCTGACTTCCCCCAAAACACTGGGATGAGCTGATAACTAGGCTGCCACTGCACAGCCCCTCCACATGTTGCAGGGGGGTGCTTTTCTCCAGGGAAAAAGGGTTTGAAAAGAAACCCCTGCATGAGGGTCAGGGAGAAGGGGCAGGCTGAGATCACACAGTCTCTATTTGTAATTCCACCAAACCTGACTGAAGGCCACGTTCCTCTCCCGAGGCTGCCCCACTGCAGCCACCCATATACATGCTCACACTCCTGTCCTCTGAGCTAAATGCTGTCCCCAGCCAGGCCAGGACTCACCTGAATGACAACCAAGGTCAGCTGGCACTGCAGCAGGAAGAGGAAGCACTTGCGGATCCCGTAGGTCGCATGCCTGGCCTGGAAGGAAGAACAAGCCCTCAGAGCCCTCCAAGTGCTGGAGCAGCTGTCAGCCAGGAGCAGTTATTGGCAGGCAGGGGCAGGACATGTGGCCCGCAGGGGAAGTGGGCAGGGAGAGGGTCTGGACACATTGAAAGCAAAAAGGGAACGTCTCTTGCCTGGATGTAGAGGTTATGAAGAAAAAGGCAGAATTTTACCAAGGGGTAAATCTGTTTAAACTCATGGCTTTTCTGGGGTTACACTTCTCCCTAATCATGCACTGTTGTCTGGCTCTCTAGGGATCTTTGTAAGATTATATTCCATCCAGGTGAACAATAATCACGTTCTTTTGCCACAAGGCACCATTCCCAAACCATCCCCTACACCTTGAACCAGTAAAGCCAGGCAGGAAGATTCTCTCTCTGTTGGGCTTTCTGAGCAAAGGACAGGAGACACAAGAAAACCTAGTGCTGGAAGCTTTCTATGGGCACCTCAAGGAGAATGCTCATGTCAGCTCCTGGGCTCTGCTCCCTGTGGGTCCTGGAGAGGAGATGTGCCTGGCTCACCTGCTCTATCAGCCTGATGATGCTGGTACTCTCTTCTTGGCGGAAGGACATGGAGCAGGGCAGGCTGTTGAGCTGCCCTGAGAGCTGCAGGGGGGTGAGCTCATCAGAGACGTTGGTCAGGGTGGTGCTGGTGGCATAGCCAAAGGTCTCCCAGGAGCAGCGAGATGGGTAGAGAGGGTCCAGTGCTATACTGCAAGGACAACACAGAAGCATCAGAGTCCTCATCCCAGAGGAGAAACCACATTTCACTGCAGTTCAGCTTGTAAAGTCACAGGGTGTTGTGCCACACTACCTCTGTCTACCTTGCTTGTAGAGAAGCCTGGAGCTATTACATCAATTTAGAATCAATGCCCCTAAACTTTCAGTTATTCTTAAAGAAATAATCAACATATTTGGGTTTGTGGCACAAGGTCAACAAATTGGCTGATCCAGAGGGGTATTTCCACTCTTTCACCCAATGGGAAGCATCTGTAATGCCAGTTGGGGTATAACAGACCAGCATGCAAGAGAGTATCTTCCTTTCAAAGACAGAGAAAAATCTCTCTCTGCGTCAAGGGACCTAAGTAGTCATCCCATCCAGACCTCCCTTATGGAGACAAATGCAGCTAATAGTGGACAGAGAAACTGTGAGGATCCCCCTGCACAATCCACAGGTGTGGTGTGACCCATGGCTGGGCACTCACTAAGATCAAGGCAAAGGCAGCCAGAGGAGGAATAGATCCTGCCCCACCTGATATCACTTTGCAGGAAGAGGCAGCTGTTCCGAAGGTTGGCAGAGCTTCCCAGACAGCAAGTCACCTCCCCATACTCCTGCATGATCTTGATCATCTCACACATGGCTGCCAAGGGACAGAAGGAGGAACACAGTGTGTCATGTCATTATGCACACAAAGATGCAGTGTTTCACACACTCCTTCCACTCTGGATAACAGGCAGTCAGATCTTTTAAAATTGCCCCAGCTGCCAGTCATATACAGTGAGATCCACAAAGATATCCAATAAGATAGGTAACTAACTGCAGACCAGGTGCTCTGCCACTGCAGGGACAGAGATATGGTTCACAGAACTCTGGCCCAGAGATTTGCATCTCCAGCACATTTCTTTCAGACCAGAGCTGGTGCATAAGACAGCTTCAGCATCAAATACTCTTGTTAGAAAACAGCAGAAATGAAATAAACCTAAAATAAATACAGCATTTCAAACTCTGCTCAGCAGCACGTCCCTACTGTTCTCCCAAGTCTAAAGGAACAGAGGGAATATAGCAAACCACTCCAAAAGCAGTGCCACACTTAGCCATACTCAGAGCCAGTCTCTGTTCCTGCACTCCCACCCACCACCACCTCTAGCCTTCATCAATATGTTTATCAACACCCCTCGGGGCCTCTAAATCAAAGCTGCTGTTTGATCTGATTTTTATTCTGTAGCTCCATACACAGTGCTCTGTGTATATATGGATTTTCTGGAATGCTCCAGGCAAAAAAACCTCAAGCCTCCCCTCCACAGATTCCTGTGTAAACAACTTATCTAAATGCCTGGTGCACACAGATCTGCAGCCCAGTGAGGGGTTGGGTTGAGTGGAGAACTGCCACTTCTGTCAAAAAGAGAGAGGAAATTTGGGCACAAAGTGGGCTGTGACTGGTACACTATAAACTGTGGCCAGAGGTTCTGAAATGCCAAATCATAAAGATGCTTCACACTTTTGCTGGAGACTGGGCAGGTGTTAGCCAGCAGAGCACTCAGACCCTTTCTTAGACAATGTAGTGCCTCAGAGAGGGAAAAAAATTTTGCCCTTTCTGGTTTTCTGCAATCAAAAACTCTGCAAAGCAGCAGAAGGTGTTAACAGCAATTGCCAGGGGAAAATTCTTCTGGGAAGTGATTTCTGATTTATATAAGGCAGTGAGGGTTGTGAGCAGAGATCAAAGTCTCCTGGTGCACTGATAATACTTATTTAATAAGAGGCAGTAGCATTTTGAATGTTTGCTTTTGTGTCTCTTACGAATGCAAATTGAAGGGAGTGGTTCTTAGCCCAATTCAGTAGATGGGGACTAAAATGAAGTTAACACCTGGCTTCCCACAGGTAGCCACAGGGTCATTAATACCAGTATAGACTTGTGGAACATATCCCCTTCCCTTCACCTGTGTGCACACTGGGATGAGCCAGAGCAAATAGCTGGGGAAGGTATTCACAGGACTCACACTCTGTGCCACTTACTCTCTGGGGTGCAGTCTGTGAAGAGAGGCACCAGCAAAGGCACATTGTCAATGTTCTGCAGGTGAGGTCTCACCTGGTGGATCCCCCGAGGGAGTTTGGCCTGGAAAAGAGAAAGGAGAGATTAAGCAGGGCAGTAGTGTGTGTGTGTGAAGGAGAGGCATTTCAGAGCAAACTGCTGAAATGGGAGTGATGATTCCTAGAACTATGCAACTGCTAGATCAGATACAAATTCATGTCCCTGTAGATAGAACTGGCTGTCCCGAGCCACTTTTGTTAAAAGTTCTACACTGAAATGCAAGCTGTTTGTGCTTGTTTGTAAGGTTAGTGTGACAAAACTGTGCTCAAGGATTTCTAAGGCTTTTTACGTGTGTGGAGAGTCTAGTCAGACACATGTGCTGTCTCCCAGCAACAAGATCTATTTCAATTGCAGCCACACCAACATTGCAGCAAGGGAAGAAGGGTTCTTGCCTTCTGAAACCAGACCTAATAGATTTTTTTTTTTAACTTGGATCTATCTCTGATATTCCTCTAATCTCTGCTGAGCATGAGGTTTTTATGAGGCAGGAAGAGCTTGTCCCACACTGACCACTGGGCAGCACCAGCCATGGTTCACAGCTGGAGGAGAGACAGTTTCCTTTGTCTGCACAGAATGTGGGGATGTTCCCAGCCCATGGGAAGGGGACCCAGAGGAAATGAGATGCAGCTCTCAAGGCTACTCTGTGTGTGGTAATCCCCACTCCTAAATGCCAAAGCAAAGAGCTGTTCAGCAGAAGTGACGAGGGGAGAGAATCCCAAACTTCCCAGGCTCTAGATACCAAGCTGGAAGAGGCTGGGGGAAATCAGGAGTCCCAGTGTAAACCAGTCTATGTGCTTTGAAGAATTCCCTTTGGGAGTAATGAGGTGATACTGCTGACCATGACAAGAGTACAAGGTGCACAGGGAAAGGGCCCTCACCCTGTTACAGTCCTCCAGGAAGCTGGGGATATCACTGTCTGTTGGCTGAAAGCTGATGAGATCCGAGTGCCCTTCCTCTTCCATGAGCAGAAGCCCCTCCACGTCATCTCGAGAAACTGGAGCAGAGAGAAGCAGCATAAACAATAAGCACCAACCTGCCTCTGCCACCCCTGTGCCACCCACATGGGATATTCACATGGCACTGCAGAAGCCAGGAAACGTGAGGCCTGATTTTCTAGGTTAGCAACACTTAGATCTCACACTCAGTCATCTAAAATGCTGTATTTTTAGATGACTAATCTGTTCAGAGGTAGATATGTGAGCCTAGTCTCTGCTCTTTTAAGACATGATAGTTTATCTGTTCTGCTGTCCTTCTAGGGGAAGAAAGTAAAGAAATCCCACCTGAAGCAAGAAAAAAAAGTAATGCACAGGCAAGAAACCCTCAGTGGCTTAACCAGAGCCCCAAAAAGAACCAAAAGCCCTGATGAGCAGTTGTAAGTTCATGGCAGCTGGTGCACAGCTGGCTATCTGTTTCCAACAACTGTGGTACTGGCTGGGTAGAAAGTCTATAAATGTAACGAGCTCTTGCTCACGTGCACACCTCAGGCCCTTCCAGTTTTGTGCTCAAAGCTCTGAAGGATCAGGTGTCTGGTGTAGACACAGGAACCTATGAATGGGTTTAAAAGAACCCTCCAGGAAACACATAGCATTCAAAGTGGCCCAGGAGCAGTTCTCACCCTGGTGCAGGTCATCGTGCAGGGAGCCAGCGTGGCTGGGGCTGGAGGGAGGGATTTCTGAGCCAGGCACGTCACCGTTGGGTGTTAAGGATATGTGGCAATTCCAGCCAGTCTCCAGACCCATCTTCTCAGCAAACACCTGTGGGTGAGCAGATAAAGGGTTTTAGTGTGGCTGCCCAGGCCAGAGTACTGCAGACCAATGCCATATTGGAGCCCAGGTACCTTCTGGGCTCATTAGTGAGCTGAATCTGATTAACCTTGGATTGCACTGGAGTTAAACTCTCCAGTCAGACAACCAGGGGCCATGCAAGTTCAGGGGGTTAAGCAGAGACAGCTTACCTTGCTTTTGAGCTCATCCTCCAGGGAGAAGTAGACAAAACGGATGCAGGCATTGACCAGTCCATCAATGAGGCGGACAATGTCAAGACGGGCCTGATACTGAGATGAGACCATTCCCATGAAGATCTGTCCACTCAGAGCCTGGATACAGTCTTCCTTCTCCATCACTTCCCCAATCCCTTCTTCAGGCATGCAAACAACACGCAATCACATTGAGACATGAGGGGCCACATGTACATCAGACAAAGTACATGTGGTGGGGAGGCCACCGAGGTAACACCCCAGGGCACAGGAACGTGCAGAAACACACACACAGGAGGAAGGAGACATCCATTTGTCCCAGCATACCCAGTCACAGCAGCAGTTTCAGGACATCCCCACATATGTGACCAAGAATACAAGCGGGAAACAGCAAGTGTGGAAAGGAAAAAGACAAAACAGAAGGCAGGGATCAGTCACAAGGAATTTGGGCAGAAAGGTAAAGGGTGTGTGCTGCATAATGTTCACATGTGCATTTTAAACACATCCTACTGTGCTTAAACAACATGGTGAGTCTAGTTGAGGCAGAGTGGCATCAGAGCACCAGGGGCTGATGCAAAGGAACTGGATCATGTCCCCTCCAATGACACCACAGACACTCCCAGAGACCCTGCAAAGGCTCTTTGACAGGGTTCCTTCACCATCACCACATTGGCCTGCAGTGAGTGGGAGCTGGAAGCAGCATGAGGAACAAAATAATAAAACACTTCACACAGTCACAAAACTTGCCACAGGTGGGACTGGAAAGTGTTGTGAAAACACTCAGTCACAGCTGTCCCCAGCTGTTGGAAAGCCCACTAATCACATTTTACAGAATGGGGGACCAAGGCAGAGAAAGATTAAGACTGGCTTCCCAAAAGAGCCTCCTGGCTTTATGTAATGGTATGTGCTTATTTCTCAGTTTCCACTGCTGTTCTGGATGAGATGTACAGTTCATCTACTGGGAATCAGTCCCTTCAGCACAGAATTAAAATCCATCAAGGGAGAATAGTCACATACCACCACACGTTTCATTCCTTTGAAAAACCCAACACATGTGATTTCCACAAAATTAGATAAAGACCAAACCAAGTATCAAAATAGCCACAAGTCTTGACTCTCAGTAGCCAGCTTTAGAAACAGACTTCCCACAAGGAGAAGAATTTCTCTGCAAGCTTCAACAACATAACTAGAAATACACCTACCAGCTGCTACATCGCTACTTCCTCTGGAAATGCAATTCAGAAACCCTTCCTTCTCAATTTCCACCTGCTACTCTGAATAACAGTGTTCTTACAGCTCTAGGCTGATCAGATCAAGCACCTGGCCCAGCAGCAGACCTTATTATAGACAGGACTGGGGACACACATACCATCTGAGCTCCAGCTATTCCTCCTGCTGCTCTGTTTGATGGGGGTTGTCCCAGGGAGGTCACAGCACGTGAAGATAGCACTCTGCCCCGGGACCTGCACCAGCTCTATGCACTTCCCATTGAGCTGGGAGGACAAGGCACAATGCATTGGCTTGTATGCAAAGGCAGAGCAGTATCCTGACAGGCAGGCTCGCTGGTAGAAATCCAACACCTTCTTCCTACGTGGAACAGACAAAAAGCAGGCAAGATTAGCAAAAATGTGCCACGTGCCTGACAATGTGCACTGCAGTTACGTGTATTTCGAAAGGTGTCTTCCATGAGGAGTGGTCAGAGTCTGAATAAGCCTTTCCCTACTGTTTCTGCATTCTCCAAGCTGCAGGCACTACAGGACAACAAAAGCACATATTCCATCAGGGGCAGTGGTGAATGTTTGCTGGTCAGGTTGATGAGTATGAACACAGTGCTCCTTCAGTACACTTATTAACGTGATATGCTCTATATGGCTGCCATGTGACTCCAAGGAAGTTCCCTGCATGACAGCAGAAGCTTAATTCATCAGAGATAATTTATCTGTGGGGACATAAACACCAAGGAGGGAACTGACAACTCTGACAATAGTATCTATGGCACAGATAGTTGCAGTAACAGACTTTTCTCCTATCCCCTTTCAGAGTTTGGGTCCCAGAAGCTGTAAGTGAAGTTTCTGTTTGGTCACGATTCAGTCACTAGAATGAGGTAAAGTTCTTTCTCTAAGCTGAAAACACAAAGGTAAAAAATTAGACTATACATTTGATTTTTCATTGGCTTCTAAGATGATAAGTATTCCAAAAAGGATCAGTGGGAGTTTTCTTACACCTGAGACTTAGAAGAACAATGTGCTGCTAGTCAGTGAAACTAAATGTTACTGGTTTGCTCTGCTAGCAGGGACAGAGATTCAGCCTATAGATGGAAATGCAGCAGACACTATCAGATATTGCAGCAAGACTCAAAGGGTGTGATGCATTGTGTAAATTGGCTCAGGCAGAACTGATCATTTTGCATTTAATTTAAGACAAGACACTAGTCTTGAACAACAACAAAAAATTCTCTGCCACCAGCATGACCTGATTGTAATTCATGGCCCTGCTGCATCGTGCAGTCAGAATCCACTTACAAGAGGCCAATATCTTTAACAGATACAGTAAGAAGTGGCTTGCTCTTACAGTTCAACTGAGTGCTTGTTGCTATCTAATCTCTTAAATTGCTTTTTATAATTGTAATGATAACAATTAATCATAAGCAGAGATAGCTCATGTTCATAACCTACATGAAGCTCTTCTTAAACAGCTTAACAAGCATCACAAAGGGAATTTTAGCAGAGTGACCAGGTTCCCTCTGTAATTTATCTGAAGCTCCTGAATGTACCAAATGAGGAAGATGCCCACCTGTCAGAGCCAGAGAGGGGGTAGATATCTGTGCCATCCCAAAAGTCTGTGCAGGCCTCGAGGATGATGTCAGCTGTCCCATGGGAAAACATCTGCTCAGTGCCTGAAGTGCAGGAGAACAATGAGTCAGCATCACACATACAGGCTTCCAGGAAAGGGATTTCACACCAACTGCTCCCTTATTTGTTAAAGGTGATTGTTCCCACAAACTGCTCTGAGGCACCTCAGATATCCCCTTTCCTTTGCTTAAAGTCTTCTGTCTCCATTAAGAAATAGCTCAAGGATGATGATGCACCTGCAGCTGCTCTTTGTCTAACTGTGGGTTCAAACAAGGCTGTGATAAAATGTGAGCCATGTGGTCCCTTCCTATTCTCCTGTTACAATGTGTATCAATCCTGCTCCTACAAAGGTGTGATAATATCTTGCTCCTGTATCCAACAGAGCAGAAGGAGAGATATTCCTGTGAGCCTCTTCTGAAGAAAGTACAAGCAGCAGTGATGAGCCTACAGGGATCAAAGTCAGCCTACGCTGGAAAGTGCATTCATTTTTAGGCCAGACACAGAACTGAAGGGTAAGAGCTATTCTTGAATACTTTTCATTCAAGCAGCAGCAGATAATTTGACAGTGTGACCTGTCAGATAGCAGCCTGTTTCACAAAAGGTCATGAAAACGTGTTAAATGAGGATGAGTCAAAAGTTCAACGTAACAGACTAAAAAAGTAACTCATGTTGTGATTAGGGAAGAACTAAAAATCAATGGACACCACAGCTTGTCCTGGTTTTTTTTCTTTCCCTACTTTACTCTTTAATATAGACTTTAAATCTCTTGTTCCCTCTTGTAGACAGAGGTGTTAAAAAGTTTTTCTTGAAGGTGTGTGATATCACTTGTCTGATGCAGGTCCCAGGCACAGGACACCAGTTAGGGGATGTGGGGCTGCCCCCCCATCCCCAGCTCCTGCTCCCTCTCATTTGCATCACATATTAACATTGCACTCACGCAGACCTCTCCGTCTACGTTCCCTCCTCCAGCTGCTCTGTGACTTTGCCCCCAACAGCTTCAAAGCTGAGCTAATGAAAAAAAAAAATCACTGCCAAGAAAAATGAGCCCAGAGGCTTCTTGCAGGCATTGTTGCTGACTGCTAATGCTCACACTGGCTGAAATCAAGAGCCAAGAATATCCACTTGCAGAAACCAGGCAGGGACCTTCAGGAACACCAGAGGATTTTCCAAAACATAGCAGCTCTCTGCTTTCTGCTATAAATAGTCAACACATGCCAAGTTTATCAGCATAACAAACCTCAGAGACGAATAGAGACTGTGTGTGAAAAAAGGAACCTGTCTCAGGGACACAAAGGAGTACTTGTGCAGAGCTCTGGTTAATTTTATTGTATAAACACCTAATCCTTCCCACCTTGCTCCTAAGGTCAGATAGTCCTTGCTAGGAAAGAGGCAACAAGAGATGTTTATTGATCCATGCAAAACCTATGTCCTGGACAGAGCTTGCAGATGACCACACACACACTGTTCGTGCCTGACAGCAATTGCAATCCACTTCCCATTCAATCCTATCAGCATCCCACACCACAATCCTGCTAAGGAGTAAGTGGCAGTGACAGCACACATTATGAACTAGAAGGAGTTCATTGCCAGTAAAGTGAGCTTAGCCTCTTCCCTGCCCAAATCGTGGACTTGAAGGCCAGGATTTCTCTGGCAAAAGGGAAAAAACTAATGAATGAGGCAGGGAGTATGACCAGCCATTCATGGCTGCTGGGACTCGTTAGGAAGGACCAAACCACTGCAGCTGAGCCAGTGAGGCAGAGCAAGAGGAATCGAGGAGTGCGGCTACAGCAAAGGGAGACAGAGAGGGTGGAAGATGCCGGTGAGCCCCTCATTTCCATGTGGTTACTATGGATTTGGGATGAACACTGCCAGATGGTGAGACACGTATTTCAATGGAATGGCAAGGGAACATACAGATAATCTGCCTCCTATTTCTGCTACAGCTGTAGAATTTATTATGTGTTTCCCTTTGACTGCAGCCTGTCGTGGGAGTGGGTGGATTCAAAGATTTATTCACAAATAAGGTATCGAGAGAGGTTAGTTATGATCATCTGGTCTGACCTCTGCATAAGCAGAGCCATTTGATTTCAGCCAATGTTTTCTGCACAGTCCAGTATTTCTGGTTCTAAAATGGTAATATTTTAGAAAGCTTCAAGTGACAAGACTATTGTGTGAGAGGTGTTCAGTGGTTAACTAACCCCAGCTGGCAAAATTCCTCTTAGAATTTACTCTAGACAGCATAATCCAGGTCACACACATATTTGTCTGAGCTCCAGCCTCTAAACTAAACCGTTTAAAAGTGAGGATAAGGAGTTGAAATGAGGCAACATTAAAGGTTTTTTCCCTACACTAAGAATCTCAGCATCAAAATAATTCCTGTTCACAAAGGCAAGATAGCAGCAATCAGAACAAATTAAAAAGTTCCTCTTCAGATAAAGATATAAATTTAAGCAGAATTAGGCAAGAGAAGACAGTTAACCTGGTAAAACTCTGGCCAGCATAATGATCATATTTCAAATTCAATATTGAACATATGTCAGCTCTAGAGAGCCAAGTTCAGTCAATTTAAGGAATTACAAAGAGCCTAAGAGCTCTGACAGGCAAGCTGTTAAATCTTGCTGAGGTGCTTTAAGACCTCACAGTGCCCAGCTGCACATCCTTTCCATCCCAGCCCGTTCCTACAGGAATAAGAAGTAGTAGAAGGAGTGGAGAAGTCAGTGTGGCTTCAGGTGTTGTATTCATGGTCACTATGAGTTTGCATGGGATTTATGAGATTTCTTATTGGTATGCAATATAGGAGCATGCAATATAATACACTAGACAACTCACAAAGATTATGATTTATCAGAAGGATGACCATCACTAACTAAAACCCTGAGTAATATTCAACACTGTGCAGTATCAGTTTCACTACCATCATGAAGTCTGTTAAAAAGCCAATAAACCCACACCTTGCTCTGCTCTGCCACTTGGTCCCAGAAATGAGGCCTACTATGTGCTAAGATAATTTTTAAAAATTATTTATGATTCTGGAGTGAGTCAAAGCTGGGAAGGATTCCCCCCCTCAGTATGCCACAGCTGATCACTAGGGTTTGTTGAGCATATCTGTGCTGGCCATGGGCAGAGCAGGGCTATCACCCCACTCCAGACTCTTCCAGCATGACATTTTCCAGGCTCTCTTCAGAAAAGATCCCCCCATTTCAAGTGGATGCCCAAAGAAAGGGGCAGCCTTACTGGTAGTGGTGTCCTTCACAAACAGGTTAATCATGTGGCTCAGGGGGGGTCTCCTCTTGGTGATGGATGAAAGCTTCCCCAGGATTGTTTCCTTAACCATCTCATCACTTGGCAGGCGGTACAAGGCCAAATAGTTCTCCTGCTTGAAGAGATCTTTAGCACCCGGTGTGAAACCTGAAACGTGAACACAAGGAGGAGAAAAATTAAGCTCAAACCAAAGCAAAAGAAAGGTCCCTTCTCCTGCTTCTCTGCCACCCACTTTGCCTGTGCTCATTCTGACATCTCTCCAGGAACTGGTAGGTAAGCTGTGCTCTCTGTGCATCTACAGAAAGATGGCTCAAGATCTGTGGTTAAAAAATTCAGAAGGACTAGATGTTATTAGTAATTACAGTGTTCATGCTTCTGGTTCACTGAAGAGAGAAACTGTAACATGGAAGGACAGGCACAGAAGTGAGTTCAAGTTTTCAGATTTTAATCCTAGTGTTACCTCTAACCTCTTATCTCTCCTGTGCCTTAGTTTTCCAATCTATAAAATGAGCTGAGGTACCTTACATCATTTATCCCCAAACTCCCTGTAAGGCCTTACAGTAAAGACAGGGCAGATAGCTGTTCATTAGCAGGTATTCTTTGTCTCCTGATGAGATTGGCAGACTCAGGCCAGAAGGATACCAAGCCTAGCCAGGGCTGGCTGGTAATATCCTTGATGACATTCATTCCTTTGATAGTGTTGACAATGTCAGAACTTGCCAAAAGCAATCTCTTTAATAGACTCTTTTGGCAACTGAACAACAGCAGAGTCAGCTCTGTATTTCCACCTTCTCAGCAGCCAGGACCGGGGAAATATTCTTGTGCTCTCTAAGGATTAAGTGTCTATTGACAGCTCTGATTTCTCTGCGTCTGCTCATCCAATTTCTCCTCACCTATTAGCCTGGCAAGCTCACAGAGGCCCCAGGGCACGTGGACAGGCAGCACAGCGTTGTGTGTTTCCTGGAGGGCGATGTTGCAGAGGTGGTCGGAGAAGCGGCACAGCCGCTCTGTCACGCTGGCGTTGCACAGGTTGAGCAGCACGTTCAGGCCCAGGGGCTTCAGGGAATTCAGGTGCATGTGCCAGTTGGAGTCATCAAACTGGATGCAGGAGGGGTTCTGCTGGTCTTGGGACAGGCTCAGCATCTCCAGGTGGTAGTCACACACAAAGTCCTCGGCCTCACAAGCCAACACCTCGCTGTCCCCAACAACCTGGTCCAACAGACAGGGAAATTCCAGTTGGTTACAGAGAATACAGCTTGAGCCCAGAATCCTGCAAGGAATTCCCAGGTAAATTCCCCAGAAGTGGAAACTCCATGGGTTTGAGTCTGTCTTACAGCTCCACAGATATGTCTGTCACGTATTGGCCTTATAAGCCACCAGCGCTCCTGCAACAAATGTGGATAGAGCCTTCCCAAATCTTCGTTCACGAAGCCCAGCCATGAATGAATGAATGACAGCTCCACAAAAGCCTACTTGTGTGCCCCTCCAGTATGTCTTACCTGAGTGTGTTCCTCCTCTCCGCCCTCTGTGTCCTTGCTAAAGCTCACATTGGATCCAGAGGGATGTTTGCTTCTGCTGTTTGGCTTTCGGTGGGCAAGGCCATCGGGAGGCTTTGGAGGATCACTAGACCAGTTGTTCCTCTCTTGTTCATTGGCCATGTGGACTGTGTCTGCCAAGGGCCCAGAGAGCAAAGCATCTCTTTCATGGGGCTGCAAGAGACCAACAAAACAAATAGTGATTCAGCAGCTGAATCCCAGCCACTGCTGATTCACCTGCTGCTTCAGGACTCCTGTACAAGAGGATCTCGTCCTTGCTGCTTCTTCATATTTTAGGCAAAGAATTATGGCACATTCACCTCATCTTCCATCTCAGGATGGCAGAAGGACCGTGTAGAGAGCTCATCAGTCAGATCTTCATGGCTATCATGAGGTGGTTCCACCTTCCCACTGAAGAACAGAACAGTCTCCGGGCTGGGGTTTGGCCACGAAAGAATCCCCTGCTTGTCTACACAGCAGAGCACCTGGAACATCCCACGACACCCCCAAAAAAGCAAAATCTCAGTGAAAATGTGTCTCAGTGTTCAGGCATAGCTGTTAATATCCTGAGTTTAATAAACAGATGGGAGGACAGACAAGTCTCTTCTTCCCCAACCTTCTGTCTTAAGAAACTGCACCTAATAAGACTCCAAGAAATCCAAGAATTCCTTGCTCTAACAGGATTGATGGGTAGTTTAACACCAATTTTATCTCAGGATATTACAAAACAAGGCATGAAGACCAAGGGAAGGAAGCAACTACTCAACCTGTTTCACCAGCTAGTACCTTACCAGGACCCAAACCAGCTGGTTCTTGAACAGAGGTCAAGAAGGTAAAGGGACCAGAACCAGAGCTGGAAAACACAGAGCCTGACAGATGTCAAAGAGTATCTCTAACCATTGTTTTAGCCTGTAAATGTGCTGCTTGGACATGATAAGACAGTTATAAACTCTTCTACACAGACAGGTGCCTGAAGGGTTTCTAATTCCAGCACAGTGAGCTGACTGCTAACAGTCTGTGCTCAGGGAAGGACGACATGAACAGTGAAAATGAAGCATCCACATAGAGCTCCTCTTTCTGACAACCCAGTAATACTCACAGTGACAGATCCCAGACTGTGGAGCAAGCTGGAAGTGAAGCTCAGAGTTGGGGATTTGCCTTTTAAAACACAGAGGAAGTGACTCCAGATACAGCGTATCATTTCCTGAGGAGGGAAGCAGAGGACATCAGCCAATTAAAGACTCATTCCGTGAAAGATGAAGGGAGAGAAGGAAAAAAGGGAGTATGACATTACCTGCTTTCAGTTTCAACACAGTGATACACTGCAAGATAAACATCAGTCTCTGTGGGAACCTGTTACCTGATACAGTGCTGATGTTCCCAAGGGAAAAGCATTCCTTCCCCCTTCCACAGAACACCAACAGACGGTTCAATTGTTGAATTGAGAACTCACTGAAACTACCTCTGCCTACCCAAAAACCCAGAATGGAATTCTGAAGTGAGTTCATTTCAAGTGAATCAGTTGCTACCTCCCAGTATCTTTTCCTGAAGTAACTCATCCCTTTGGATTATAAGAGTTTGAGGCCTTGGGCTTTGCATCACCAAAGCTCCTTAGATCACGTTCCTTGGATCCTAAGGGTTAGTACAGCAGTCAGCTCAAATGCAAAACAATCATGAGCTATCACCAGGAAGAAAAAAAAAAAAAGCTCTTATTTAAACCAGTTTCTTCTGAGCAAAAATGTTACACAGGTACAAAAGAAGCAAATCTTATCCATGAGGTCAACTCAAATCACTGCCATTTACCACCTGAGAAACATCTCAGCTAAATGATGAACTGGCACAGAAAGACAACAAAATATTCATCAAAGGAAGCACATGTGAGTGCACCTATGTACATTCCTCTGAGTGACTGGGAGCAAGGAGATATGAATTGATTCTTATAATATCTAGGGATTCTTAATCACTGCTGGAGTCCATCTGCCTCCTTATGGAAAGGGGAATCTTAATTCCAGATTAGACAGAGAAGTGTCTTTCATCTACCCACCTGTTTAATCTGGATGAAAAAAGGTCTTCTATATGTTTAATTGCCCCAGCTTTGGAAGCACTAATAATGTGCTTAAAGCTTAAGGAGCCTATGAAACAGGATCAGACTTTTAAAAAGCCTGAACATCCCATGGTCCCCTCTGTATGTTTGGTCTTGCTGACCACCATCCCCTCTGGTTTTTAGTTTTGTCTTGAAAAAGGAGGTTTTTCTAGTATAAGCAAAATACTTCCCTTCTTTCTGACACACACCATAAAAAGTTTATTTTATTCCTGGAACAGGACTTGAAAGAGGCACTGTCTTCAGGACAGAAAGCGTTGATTTCAAACCATTTGCAATATTCAGAGAAGCACAACTGGACTCGGTGTTGAAGTCACCTCAATCTCTGGTCAGCAGAGCAGCATTTACATGGGAAGGTGCAGGGGAAAGACATGCAACCTGCATGCATTGTAAATTAAAGCAACAAATGAGTGACAATGGACAAGTGACACGAGTCAAAAGGGTCTAGGAACAAGCAGGAGATCAGAGAGGAAGGGAAAGGATACCAGTGAAGTTCCGCAGTGAAGATGGAAGAAAACAATTCATAATAATAGTACCTGAGAAGATACCATCTCTGTGTAGCTGCTGAGAGTGTCCTCTGAAAACTTAGCAAGCTGCAGCAAGAGAAGAGACCAGTTACTATAATTGTGCTCAGAAATGTGTCATGAGGAACATCCATCCCTCAGTATGTGCCTTCAGAGAGGAGAAATCAGGAGTCCTGCTCTGTGGGAATCGCTGTACCAAGGCAGACCAATAACTCATCAAAGCAATTAAATCTTTAATGGACTCTGTCTTTTTCTACTTGTGAAGCACAGGCCAAGTGCTTGGTGCTGTACATCACAGAGGAACACACAGTCATTACCTAAATGTCTACAGAGAAAATAACAGCAATTAGACCCAGAGGAGGCTCTTTTCTGGATGGTTATTTTTAGACAGAAAGAGCCAGGAATGACTGATCTGGTTTTAAGTTATATGGGTCAGTTACAGGAAGGGAGCTGGAAAAGGGGTTGGAAAAGCAGGAGCCTGGAACACGATGGACACAGAGGAATGAGGTGACATGAATGGGATGTGGACAGAAAGTGAAGAGAAATTATAGCAGGGCACTACCAAGGGGCTCTTGGAATTACAGTGAGCCATTCACTAACTCAGGATTTGTGCATCCAGCACAAAGGAATTCCACAGAAGACATAATTTTGAAAAAGTTTAGGTCTACTCATAATCAAAAGTGGATATGGCAATTACACTTGTATGTAAATAAAACAGCAGCCCAAATAATAATGCATATATCTGACACTCTAAAAAGGATCAATTTAACAAAGCTGAAAAAAGCCAAGAGAAATTAGTCAGAAATAACTTAAACTGAGAACTATGAAGGATAATTAGGAACTGTTTAAGAACATTTTGTCACAATTTTAAAAAGCAACAATCCCATAGTAAAAATAAGAATCCAGTTGTGAGTGGAAGTGAAAATAGAAATAAAAATTAACATAAAAACTAGGGAAAAGTATACCATTAGTAAATTAAAACCAGTCCACTGCTTGCTAAGGACAGTGAAATTGCAAACGATATTGCAGGCGAGGCAGACGT